TAGCTCCAGCTGGTCTGGAACCTGGTAAGTAGAACAGGTTGGCCTTGAACTCACAGAGATCCGCCTGCTTCTATCTCCGGAGTGGTGGGGTTTTTCATTTTTTAAATTTTTACAATATCAGACTGAGAAAATTTGCAAAAAGAGAATAAAGAATTCAAATTACCCACTGTTCCCTTCTCCACTGGTCCCTCCCCTTTCCTTCCTCCTCTCCTCCCCAACTTTCTCTCTCTCTCTCTCTCTCACTGTCCCCAGCATATTGTATCTAAATACAAAAGCACTTATAACTAAGACATATTTCTTTCTCCACAATGCCCGAGGGTGCAGGCATTGAAGGGACAGTGATTTATAGTCATCCCTCTGTGCTGACTCCCAGGCAAGTCAATCTTGTTGACCTGTAACTTAGGACAATGGATGCTACACATTTCTCTTTGCAAAGCTTTGGAAACTTATGCCCCAAATTCCTGAAGGACAAGTGTCTTTTGTCTTATGTTTCTTTTTTTTTAATGTGTTTTGAGCCAGTTTCACAATGTTTCTGAGGCTGGCCTTGGAACTCTCTGTGTAACATAGGTTGGCTGTGACTAAGCTTTGGCTCTCTGGCCTCAGCTCCTGAATGCTGAGATTTATATGTGTGTAGAATCAGGTCTATCTCTCTTATTATGATGTATCATGAACTCATTCAGATCTTAATTTTTTAAAAAATACACTTTGTTATGTTTGTGTTGTGTTTACTTGTTTGTAACATTAATATGTAGCTGAAAAGAAAAAAAAATCCCTAATTTGAGAAATCATTGAACTGATATCTAAATTTTTAAATCTGTTTATCTATATGTGTTTTTAATTTATTTTTATTCTATGTGTATGAGTGTATTGCCCACATGTATGTAAATACACCCATGTCGTGCAGTGCCAGAGGAGATCAGAAGGTGTCAAATCCCATGTAACTGGAGTTATGAATGGTTGTTAACCACCATGTGGGTGTGGGAATCAAACCTGGCTCTTCTACAAGAGCAGCCAGTGCTCTTAACTGCTGAGCCATCACTCCAGCTCCAGTACTAATAATATTAGTCCTGATTTTTATTAACTTGTAATTGACTATTTTGTTTGGTTGTTGAGCTAAAGTTATAAGGAAATTGACTATCAGTTTGCTAGGAACTTTGAGAAAAATTTCAATATTTTCTACGTGGTATCCTTTCTTGTTTTCCATGAGTTTTAAAAAATATCTTTATTGAATTTTTGGGAGTTTCATACAATGTATTTTTGTTGTTGTTGTTGTTCTTTTTGAGACAGGGTCTCCCTGTAGCCCCAGCTGTCCTAGAACTCACTATGTAGAACAGGCTGGGCTTGAACTCACAGAGACCCACCTGCCTCTGCCTCCCGAGTGCTGGGATTAAAGGCATGCGCCACCATGCCTGGCTCATATAATGTATTTTGATCATGTTCAGACTCCCTCCCCTCTCTGTACCTCCCTTACTATCCCTTGCCAAATTTCATGTCCTCTATTATTTTTTTCAAGGCCTAGTGAGTCTATTTTGTGCCTGCAAATGCACTTCAGTGTGGGTCCATCCTCTGGAGCCTGGTTAACCTACCCAATGCTACACCCTTAAAGAAAATGGATTGTCCTTAACCCACAGTTATCAGTTGCCAATAGTTCTTCAGCTAGGGTTAGGAATTCTTACCCACCTCCCCCACCTCCACCCTGCCTCTTGCTGGGAATATATCTGGCTTGAGCTTATGTAGATCTTGGGCATGCTGTCACAATTGCTGTGAATTATATGAGTAATTGTCCTGCTGTCCAGAAAACACTGTTTTCTTATAGTCATCTACCTCTGGCTCTTATAATTTTTCTTTCCCTTCTTCCTCAATTATCCCTGACCTTTGGAAAACAAAGTTTTGATATAGGTGTCCAGTCTCTTATTCTCTGCACATTGACCATTTGTAGGTCTAGCACCATATGCAAGAAGAAGCTTCTTTGGTAAGAGTTGAGAGATGCATTAGTCTATGGGTATAACAATAAGCCATTAGGAGTCAGTTTAATACTGTCTATTTAGCAGAATAATAGTAGTAGTCTCTCTCTTACAGCTTGTGACCTGTCTAGCCACAGGTTCCTAGGCCTGATATCAGTGCCAGGTCTATGTGCTCCATCTTGTGAAGTGGGCCTTAAATCCAAGCAGAACATTGTTGATTACTCCCATAACATTCATACCACTATTGTACCAGTAGGTATATTTTGCCAGGCCAGTTGTTACAGCTCACAGGATCACAGCTGGTAAGACTGATGATTACTTTCCTCTTCTAGTAGCGTGCATAGCACCTTCTAACACTATGAAAGCTGACAGTAGAGATGAAGTTTTAAGGTCATACTAGCTTGATTTCTCCTTTGTCTGTTCTATGGCTAATGCATGTAGTGTCTTCAGCAATAGGGTCTTACTATCAAGTTCTGGCAGATAACCAAAAGAAGCTTTAACCTTAAACTTTGCTGTAATTCAGCTTCCCCAAAGCCTTAGTTTGTAATACCTTATAGTTAATAAATTATGCATGTTGGGAGAATTTTCCCCTTTAACTCAGTTTCTTTTTAAAAAATATTTTTTTTATATGTATGAGTGCTTTGCCTGCTCTAAGCGCACCCATGCATGCAGTGCCCATGGAGGCCAGAAGAAAGTGACAGATCCCCTGGAACTGGACAGTTGTTAGCCATTATGTGGGTGCTGGGAACCAAACCTAGGCCCTCTGCAAGAGCAGCCAGTGCTCTCAAATGCTGAACCATCCTCTCTCCAGCTTCAAGTTGTGTTTCTTGCCGCTAGGGTTGGATATGGGGGGTGGGTGTTTTAAGAGGACACTAAGAGAATTGCTGGGTACTAAGAAGTTTATTAAAGGAGTTATTAACTCCATGGACTGACAGACAGAGGGGCACCAGCATGGCAAGGACTGCAAGGGGAGCTCGGGCCCCAGTACCAGAGACAGACAACATTGCAGGGTCTCTGAAGAGATTCAGAGCCCATGCGGCAAAAGAGGGAGCCTCTTATACCTTTTAAGGATGAGGGGAATGCTCATAACAAGAGCCTGAAGCCAGGCGCTCTGATTCCCAGGGAGGAGGCAGGGAAGTAGGATGGGTGTGGAGCCAATGGGGCCTCATGCTTTAGCAACACCCTTTGATGTCAACTCACTTCCCAGGTGAGAAATCCTTTCTTCAGCATCCAATAGGGTGCCTGTCATCCATCCATATCTGTGGGGAGTGGGGGGGGGCCTAGATTCTACATACATTCTTACAATGGCACATGGTGATTTCTGCTTTCTTATTTTCAGATTGAAGAAAATGTTCATTCTTTTCTGGATTTGCTATGCTTATCCAACCAATATTTAAAAGAATATTTAAAAATTTCCATGAAAGAGGAAAATTTTTAAAAAATTTTGTTTTATTATTTTTATTTTATATGTATGAGTATATTGTCTGCATGTATGTGAGTGCACCCGTGATATGCAATGCCACAGAGATCAGAAGAGGGCTTCAGATTCCCCTGGAAGTGGAGTTAAGGATGGTTCGTAACCACCATGTGGGTGCTGGGAATTGAACCCAGGTCCTCTGCAAGGGCAGTCAGTACTCTTAACCACTGAGCCATCTCTCCAGCCCCCAAAGAGGAAATATTTTAAGTTGTCTGCTGATATTTGTTTATTTATTTGGTCTTTTTGAGACTGGGTCTCCCTGTAGTCCCAGCTGGCTTGAAACTCACTATATAAACCAGGCTGGCCTTGAGCTCACAGAAATCTGCCTGCCTCTGCCTCCTGAGTGCTAGGACTAAAGGTATGCACCACCACACCTGTCTTACTGATATTTATTTTTAATAAGTTATATTTTTAAAAACGAAATTCTGATTTAATTTTATATGGAATTTTTCTCTGAGAGCATCAAAACGCTAGTCATAGAACTAGAAGAAACTAGTAATTCCAGTTCAGAAATCTCTCTATAGACCCTGGCACATCTACCCCAAACACTTTGATATCCTGCACAGAGTCCCATTGAACAATCAGAACTGTTCACACTGTGTCATTGGAACTGAGCACAAAGGTCCAGACAATCTGGCAAAATTGGAGTGAATTTCTGTGAGGTCACTGTAAGCTACATTCTCTTGCTTCAGACATCTTTCCCTGTCCCTGGTCCCCATTGCTCCCTATTGCCTTTCAGAGTCCCCTGTTACTCACAAGGATGATGTGCTGGACTCCCCGCCCTGCTTTGACAGGCTGCTGGCCCAGCCCTTTCCCTCCTGCAGAGCTGTTCTCTCCTCTGAGGGGTCCTGTGCTCTGGATCTCCCTTCCCAGCTCCTCAGAGACCTTGTCCTGGACAGCACGGCCTCCTCCTCCTGCCCTCCACCTGGGTCCCTGTGCACTTCTCTCAGGGTATGGAAGGAGGAGGATGTGCCCCATATTTCCCAAATCTCTCCCATCTGACTTGTGGTCATTAAAACAAACTACAGTCTACAGAAGGACCCTGTTACTCACAGGGTTCAGAATGTAGTCTGATGTTAACAGTTTTTTTTTTTTTTTTCCAATAAAGAAGAGACCAGATGAATTAATGCCAATGTACGATTTCTATGAATTGTTATAGAGAAACAGAACATTCTCTCAGGTCAGGAACTCATATTTGGCCTGACCCAGGCATCCTGAGTCTCCAGAGCCTGCAGGAGCTCCACAGTCCAGGGGCAAAGACAGCAACGTGAGAAGGGGAGGAAGGGGGGCCAGCTTTGCTTTTCACTATCTTGACTGTCACTGCCTATTCCCGGTGGACCCGGCAGGAGGGGCGGGCGGGGAGATGGATGCTGGCCAGGCTGAGAAGCAGGCATGCTCACCCCTGCTTTTTGCTTTGAGAGCCCTGCCAAGGCTTCTGGCACTTTCTCTATCGAGGCTGTAGGGGCTCTTTCTGGTCCTCGCGGATGGGCCTGGCACTGGCTCCGGAACTCCAGGATTGGTTGGAACTGGGGGTGGGGAAAGGCGGTCTGAAGACCAGATAAAGCGAGGCCCCGCCCCGCCGCTCGCTGGCTGTTCTTGGGCAGGGGAGACTAGGCTGACACAGCGCCTGTCTGCTCAGTCCATAGCACCAGCACCATGCCCATGATACTGGGTTACTGGGACATCCGCGGGGTGAGTGAGGGGTCCGCATTGAGGGTGAGACTGGGAGGAGGGGCAAGGAAACGCACAGTAGATGGGGGCTGGTTCACGGTGATGGATTCTCTTCTGGAACTGTTGGGGCCCTCTGTCCCTGTCTGGGGGCCTGGGTGAACCCTCTGTATGTGGAGTGTGTGTGTGTGTGTGTGTGTGTGTGTGTGTGTGTGTTCACGTGTGTACGCGCGCTGATAGAATCTCACCATCTCTGACCTGTCATTCCATCTCTCACAGCTGGCTCATGGCATCCGCCTACTCCTGGAATACACAGACTCAAGCTATGAGGAGAAGAGATACATCATGGGGGACGGTAGTGACACTCTTCTAGTCAGATCCCTGTCCAGCTCTGCCCATTGGTGCCCAGAAACCCAAGCCTGGCCCCCTGTTGCTCAAGCTCCGCAGGCCTTCTTCAGCTGAACCCAGAGTGTGCCCCTTCCAGAAACCGCCTTGATGGTGTAGCTTGATTTTTCTAATGGAAGATGCTAAGAACCCTCTGCATCTGTAATTGGGTTCCATTCCCTTAGCACTTGCCTAAATCTTTTGCTAGCCTTAGTGATGCAGGGCCCACAGTCCTTCTAAGCACTCTTTGATCTTGAAACCTTGGAATGTGAGATTGAGACTTCAGGTCCCCTGTCTTGTGGGGTGGGGGAGATGGGGCGTGAAGGTGTCTCCCAACTCCTTGGAGAAGGAAGCTTGGACCCTGGAATAATTTCTTTTTGCATCATCTTGTTTACCACAGCTCCCGATTATGACCAAAGCCAGTGGCTGAATGAGAAATTCAAGCTGGGCCTGGACTTTCCCAATGTAGGTGCAGGGAAGGGGTGGTTTAGGGAAAGTGATGGTGTCCCCACCTCATCTCCTTGCCTAGCTGAGGGGGTTCGGGGCCAGTGCTTCTCTCTCCTGCTCCATTCCTGGTGGTCTGCACTGTGGTCCTGTGATGGGCTATGTCCCAGATCTTGCACTCAGTGTGCAGTACATTCATGGAGGGCTTCCCATGCCAGGCACACTGAGTGCCAGGCTCCATGTCTGTCCTAACCCAGGGGATGCTGGGATATCCCTAGCCCATCTGGTCTTCCCTGCTTATTCATCCAGCTGCCCTACTTAATTGATGGACCACACAAGATCACCCAGAGCAACGCCATCCTTCGTTACATTGCCCGAAAGCACAACATGTGTGAGTGGGGCTGGCTACAGGGTGGGGACGGTGGCCATCCCCCTGAGCTTGGCTGGGGTGGGCTGCTGAGGATAAGTCTGTGCTGTGTGTGCTGCAGGTGGGGAGACAGAAGATGAGAAGATCCGTGTGGACATTTTGGAGAACCAACTTATGGACACCCGCATGGTGCTGGCCAGACTTTGCTACAACCCTGACTTTGTGAGTCCTGCTCTGGGCTGGATGAGGCAGCGCTGGAACAGGGGCCTGTACACTTGTCTTATCTTCTGTTTGTGTTTGTCATTGGAACTCCCTAGTGCTGCTCTCTCTACAAATGGTATTCTGAACTGCCCTGGTGGCACCCTCTGGAGGCTGAGGCAGAATGGCTGAGTTTAAGGCCTTCCTGGGCTACATAGTAAGACCCTTTCTCAAAAGAAAAAAAAAGAAACTAAACTGAACTTTTCTATCCAGTGACCCTTGAACTTCAGAGTCTTGTCAACTGGAGCTCCCAGTGAACTTCACCATTTTTAGCATGCCATCCAGACTCCCACATTCAGTGTCACTACCTGGACAGTAAATTTTGGATATAGAATGACCACCCATTTCTGCCCCAAGCTCTTCCAGGTGGCTTAAATCATCCCTGCTTCTGCAGTGATACACTCAAACTATGAAGGAAAGATGTGGAACCAAGGACTGGAAGGTCACCCTCACCTGGGGCTCTTTCCAATTGGCTTTGCAGAGCTGTGCCCACCATGCCCATACTGATAAGCAAATGTTCCCCACAGGCAACTCAAGGTTGACCAAAGGCCTTCCATCTTCCCCATTTCCTTCTCTCCCCTCAAATTCATTTCATCTTTTTGGAAACAGCATCAAAGTCTTCTGTCACTTTACTAAGTAGAATATCCGACTTCTTTTCCAAAGTGCTTTTAGTTGTTTGTTTTCTTGATTCTGCATACCATCTGAGTCCAGAGCCTGTCCACACAGTCCTGAGTGTGACCAAGAGGTGATTTGAGCAACAGTGGTGAGTCTCAGGGACAGTGTAGTCCTGCCTGACTTTCCATCACCTCTAATACTGGATCTGGTGCCTGTAGGAGTCTAATTAATGGTAATATAATAAACTAAGTCTGGACACTAACCCAGGCCCAGTCTCTGGTAGGTGACTGCTCCCCTGCCCAGCTGGGGCCTATGCAGCCCTGGGAGGCCAACTTTTCTGTCAGGGAGCCTGTGCCTGTGGGTAGTTGACCAGTGTTTTCTGCCTTAGGAGAAGCTAAAGCCGGAGTACTTGGAGCAACTTCCTGGAATGATAAAGCTCTACTCTGAGTTCCTGGGGATGCAGCCATGGTTTGCAGGGGACAAGGTAAAGGGGAGGGAGGTGAGGAGGAGAGCTGCCATTCTGCCCAGGATATCAGATTCCATTATACTCACCCCCTCCTTCCTGCAGATCACCTTTGTGGATTTCATCGCTTACGATGTACTTGAAAGGAACCAAGTGTTTGAACCCAAGTGCCTGGATGAGTTCCCTAATCTGAAGGGCTTCATAGCTCGATTTGAGGTGTGTTCCTGATCCGCTTTCCTCCTGGATATCCTTCTTCCTCTCCCCGTTTTCCTTGATACTTTCTTAGTCCTCAAACTAAAACAAAATGACAATAAAAGAAACCGTAACATTTATTAAGCACTTGCTTTCTGTGCTCAAATCATAGCAACCACTTTACAAGTGGATTGAATCATGAGTCCCTTTGGACTGGTAGGAATGAGACTTGAAGACAAGTCACTAGTGGAGGTTGTATCCAGCACCCTGTTGGTATGTGGCCTCTAAGGGGAGCAGGTAGTAGATATGTTCCTGTTTTCTGTCAAAAGGAAAAGCTTCAGGATCCTGAGAAGCCTGGGTTTCTCAGCCTAGGATGCTAAGAAGGAAGCAGAAGATGCCAGGAGTATGGAAGCCAACAGGCATCAGGAGAGGGAGGCATGGTAGGATTGGTGTGAAGGAACAATGTGCAGATGGTGTTTATACCTTATCTGTAGAATGCTTGGCTTAATCTGATCCACATCTGGCATAAACCAAACTCCAGGCTGCTTTTGGTCCTGGATTTGACTATGTATATGGGCCCTGCTGAAGGATTTTATCCTGAAATGATACATGCTATGGGACTCCCTTGCCTTCTTTCCAATGTCTCCATAATGTCAGCTACACAATGTACTTCTGTGCTTATTTTCACTCCTATTTACTTACTTTTTCCTTTGTATGAAGCTCAGTGTCTGGCCCAGTGGAACATGGAAAAACTCCTGCAGACAGCAGCAGGCATAACAAATATGTTATCATCTGGGTCTGGGGTTCATGGTTTAGCTCACTTCTTAGTTAATCATGGGTCCCCCCCAGAGTCTACTTGACACCCACAGAATCTATCTGGGAGATCTGGGAACTGGGGGTTTAGAACAGCAGGTTTGCCATCTGGGATCTTCTCCTTCCCCATATCAAGTGATGCACTTTCTCAGTCAGTTCTCCGGCTCTGGTGCTGGACCAAGCACAGTGACTTTGGTGATTGAGGAAGAGCTGCTGTGACTGTGGGAAGGGAGGGATGGGAGAGCTGAGGGCTGCAGCCTGAGGCCTGATGGATCTGGTTCATTGAAAACAGGCAGCACAGCAATCTCTGAACACTATAGAAATTATCTAGGCAGGTTATCCTGAAAACATGGAGCAAAGTACACCGAGTGTCATTTGGTGTGGTCCTCTGTAGCAGGGCGAGACAGGGGCACAGTGAGATTGGAATGAAGTTCCATGAAAAGCAGTTTGGATTTCTACTTTCAGGGGAATGATTAAAGCTGGCCCAGCATTCCAAGCTTCTCCTCCCCCTGTTAATTTCACCGGGGATTTGCCGGGTTCATGACTGAGATCTGGGCTCTCTTTTCTGCTCCATTGGCCTGTTCTGGACCTCTTTGTCCTGTACAGGTCCTTTGTGTGCTTAGCAAGAAAGATGTTCCCTGTGGAAAGGGGGCATATCTGTGATGATAGGAAGTGACAGGGCCTCCTGGGGGAAGACAGGAGGGCAGTGGGCAGAGAGGGCACAGGGTGGCAACCCCAGAGCCAGGCTGGCTCAGATCCTGCTCCATTGACTAGCTGTGTGAGCAAGAGGAAGTCACCTAACCTCTCTGGTTCTCAGCTTCTTTGCTGATTACCTGGTCGTGGTGGTACTAATCTTGGAGGATTGTTGAGTGGGTTTTCTGGGTGGACATGGTAATCTCTAGCACCTTGCATAGGGCCCAGTCTCCCCTTCTTTATAGGCAATTTAAGAGTTCCTTTTCCAGGGCTCTAGGACTAGAGCTCACATGGAAAGGCTGTTCTTGGAGTGGAGCTATATTGACCAGTGGAACCACAGACCTGAACTCCTACTTTGTCCTCACAGGGCCTGCAGAAGATCTCTGCCTACATGAAGACCAGTCGCTTCCTCCCAACACCGTTGTTCACAAAGATGGCCACTTGGGGCAACAAGTAGTGCTTTGACAGAGCAGGAGGTAGGAGTTGGAAGCCCATTCCCCTTGGGCTGTCAGGAGCCCCAGGGAGCAGCTGGAACCCTGCAGCCCAGATCTACTTTACTCTTTTTCCTTCTTTCATCCCTTTCCAGACCCCAGGCCTCGTCAACTCTCTTTTTCTCATCTGATCCATGTCCCCTTCAGGTTCTTTAAAGCCTTAGCAACTCCTTTTCCTTGAGAAAAGTAGCCTTCTAAAGCTTAAATGTCCCCATAGGCTCAGTGTTTGAACACTTGGTTCAGCTGATGGGTATTTTGGGTAGTTATGGACTCTGTGGGAGGGAGGGTCTCTGTGGAGAAAGTTGGGTTCTAGGCACAGACTTTGATGGCTCTAGCCAAGCCCCCCACCCTCCAGCTTTCTGCTTTCTGATTCAATAAGACTTGAGCAAACTGTGCTGTATGCAAGATCCTATCAATCACTACAGCTGTGAATCACTCCTACTACCATGCCTTCCCTGCCAGGATGGATGGTATCCCCTAAACCATGAACCAGAATAAATCATTCTTCTTTTACATTGTTTCTATTGGTTATTCTATCACAGCAACAACTACAACAACAAACAACTAATCCAGCACATCAGGAAAGAAGCCTGATTCCAGGCCCAAACCCTCTTGTAGATGATCTTCAGTTCTAAAGATGGTCCCCTCGGTCCTTCTGAGGTCTCTTAAGTCGAAAGCCTTTGTGGGGACCTGCCATGATGCTATTCCACACCCTTCTGTAAATGGTCCTAGCATAAACCTCCCCTACTCAGATTCATCACTCATCAGCTCTTCATTTCATCACATTCTCCTGAAGTGATTTAGAATTACACTTAGAGTGAGCCTCAGAAGGTTCAAGAGGAGTTCCTAGTAGTTCAGTGATTTCTATCCACAGTGCCAGAATTAGTTATAGGTAAGCATTCAGACAAGGCTCAGTGGTAGAAATCACTGCATATCAACAAAGACCTCTTATCCTCAAAACAACATATCCAGAAAGATGCCTTCAAAAACTGGGTGAAGACTTGAACAGGCATTTCCCCAAAGTAGCCAGTTAGTACATAAGACCACAAACACCGTTAGCTAGCAGAGCAGTTGTAAATCCTACAAGATCCAAAATGGCTAACATCCAATGGGCTGACAACAGTGGTAAATTTATGGAGTAACTGGAACTCTCACACAGTGCTGGGGGACAACCACTCTGGGTACTGACAATATCAAGAGTTGAACAAGTAGCTACCTCTCATCCAGGAGTTGCTCTCAACAAAAATGAATGTTTTTGTCTTCCACAAAACATGAAAGACTTGTGCAAACATGTGGAAAGCAGCTTAGTTTTAAATTCCATCATCAGAAAATGAACAAATCAATTGTGGTTTATTAATATAGTCATTCATGTAATGAAATAATATATTATAATTTAAAATAAATGCTATATACCACAACATAGATGAGTCTCAATGATATAATGTTGACTACAGGATCCAGGCACATAGGAAGTGGAAAGATTGTAAGAACCAGGGAGGATGTGCATGACCATATGGAAATAGAATCCTACAAGCTCCTGGGAACCTGCTCATATGATTCTATGGCATAGGTGCCAGCATACACAAGTCCCATGCAAACTCAGCAGACAGTAACGCCCCATAGATCTGGGAAAATGAACAGCAGGCCCCAATCTTATCTAAAGGAATTTTGACAACTGATTGCTGTTAGATGAAGAAGAGCTGATCTTCCTAAAACAAGGGACTCTAGATAGGCTGACTAGACTCGGCGGACAGACTTGCACTTGGGAATGGCTAGGGGCACTGACAACATAGTGGGCAGTAACAGGGATGACAGAGTATATGGGCTCCAGTGGGGGGAGGAGGCTATGGGAGGATGCCAGTGGGGATGGGGTATAAAGATGATTAAGATTGTTTGAGATGTTCTATATGAAACACACACACACAAAAAAAAATCAATAAAAAATTAGTTAATTTTAAAAAAAGAAAAAAAAAGTACAATCAGTTTTATTCCATTTCCATGAAAAGTGTGCTGGGGTTGGATGAATGTTGACTTTGGTAGGGTTGTTATTTGACAGGAGGTTGTGGGGTGCTAGAAATGTCCCTTATCTAGATTTAGATGGCAATGTGAAGTACACAGATATCAAACCCATGTGGATATACTTACTTCCTACTGAAACATAACTTCCATGCAATAAATGTGCCTATAAGATCTTCCGTGTTCATCTGTATGGGTTTGATATCTGTGTACTTCACGTAATTGTCAGGATCCTCTTGTCTTTGGGATTGCCATGGGATTGCAGATGTGTGTGCCTGTGATGTTTTTAAAGTGGGTACTGGGGATCTGAACTCAGGTTTTCATGTAAGCACTTTACCCACTGAGCCATCTCTCCAGCCACTGCCCCCCGCCCAGGTTTCCATTAAAAAACTGTACATATTAGCACTCTACTTACATGTATATTTATAATATGTAGTTGTTATCTTGCACTCCTTCCTGTACATAAAGTATAGTTTTCCTAATCATTTTCATGCTGTTTGGGTATCTTTAACCTTTATCTTTAGTTTTCTTTACATCAGTCTGATTATCTTTAAACTTACTGCCTCCTGTTTTGGGTATTTCATTTGTGATTATACCCAAAGGATACAGTCTGCAGCATAGGGAAAAAATAGTTGTGGGATATTATAATTATGTGTCTTTTCCCAAGTGAATACATTTATAGTGCCACCAGGAAGAACTGTGGCCCTTTTATAATTTACCAAGGCACTTGAAGTCCATAGTTCCATTTTATGTTACTTTAGAGGTTCAAAATGACTCTTTGATGTTTTCCCCCTTTCACTAATTGCTATTGCTTGTTCTTGTTTCCACTTGCTGAATCACTGCCCCTAAATCTCCGTGTAAAACTCTGTTTTAGCCATTGTCACCCCAGGACTTAACCAGTTTATGAAGTACATACAGTTAAAAGATGGGCTATTGGGCTGGAGAGATGGTTCTGTAGTTAAGAGTACTGGCTGCTCTTGTAGAGGACCTGTGTTCAGTTCCCAGCACTATATGGTGGCTAACAACCATTTGTAACTTCAGGGGGAAGTTCCAGGGGATCTGATGCCCTCTTCTAACTTCTGTGGGCATTGTATAACACGGGTGCACTTACATTCATGCAGACAAAACACTCATACACATAAAATAAAAATTAATTAATTAAATAAATAAAAGATGAGCTGCTGACCATCAAAATTCATTTTTCCCCTATAGTGCAATAGTCTTAATTGCTATTCTGGTCCAGATTTTCTATCACAAAATAGAATGGTTAACTTTTTGTGTTAACTTGATGGGACTAAGGAGTGGCCACCAAATTGTGAAAATATTCTTCTGGTTGTCTTTGAGGGTGTTTCTAGAAAAGATTAGTATGAGTGAGGAGATTGAGTAAAGATCCATCCCCACAAGGCTCCTTGTTCTCTGGCTTTGGCACTATTAGAGACTTATGCCATCACCCTACTCCCCACCAGCATGTTAGGCCTCCAGACTCAGAAAGACTTAATGTCACAGGCTTTTTGATGTCCTCCTCTGGCAGACTGAAAATCATGGGACTTTATCTTCATAGTCATATGCGGGGCTGCCTGTCTGGAACAGGCTGCTGAGGACTTTGTAGGGGGAGGGGTTGATTGCCTGACCAGAGTCACTCTTCTCCTTACCCTGTACTCTGGGGAACCTGGCTACCCAGTTTCTCCACCTGCCCGAGTCTCTTTCCTTCCTCATATGCAGCCATTTAACAATTTAGAGGTCCTCCCTGCAGCTAGCCCCTCTGCCAGGTATCTCTTCAGCCCCTAAAGTTAAGTTCGAAAAAAAAAAAAAACTTTTCTATTAGCTGGGGGGGGGAGTGTATGCCTTTAATCCCAGCACTTGGGAGGCAGAGGCAGGTAGATCTCTGTGAGATCAAGGTCAGCCTGGTCTACATCGTGAGTTCCAGGACAGCTGCAGCTACAGGGAGACCCTGTCTCAAACAAAAAAGATTAAAAAAAAAAAAAAACCCTTTACTTCTTAAATTATTTTTTTAAATGACAGGATATTTTGTTTTACTGTCATAGGTGAAGCTATGTTGATCATCTTGATTTCAATGCTTGAATCCAAAACTATTACATATTTAACAACTCATTTGCTTTCTAGGAAAATAAAAAACATTTTTTCTTTCCAAAGATAAGTGGTTATCACCTCTAAGTACAGCTGTCTTTAACTAAAATCTGATGAAGAGAAACATAGATGACACATATTTCTTTAAGTTACCTATTTCATATATAATACAGTAAATGTGTTTGTGTAAACAAGAAGGAAAATATAAAAATATAATGTATAAAAGGAAATGAAATATACATACTATTTTTATAATAAAGAACTAAAAGTACTAGGTCACACAGTACCTTGACAAAATGCTTTTATAATAAAGAACTAAAAGTACTAGGTCACACAGTACCTTGACAAAATGCTTTCATTGGTAGAATAAACCATGCAAAATAGATGAGGTGAAGTAAAATCTTGTCCAAGGATTTATTTCATGATTTTTCTTTTTATGTGATTTTTTTTCTTGAAAGATATATTGTATGCTTTTTGTGTTTGTAAACATCATATTCTCAAGCCATTTTATGGCAATGCTCAAAAAGTCTCCTTTCTTCAGCTGTGCATGCAAGCCTGGCCTGGTGGAAGCTCAGAAGACTTCTGTCCCTTTCTTTAGAACAGACTCAGCAGACCCTGAGCATTCCTGTGCTGGCTCTCACAGTGTGGGCTGCATGGTTAAGGCTGGTTGTTTCACTCCAATGCCAGAAGCCTGAGAAAGGGTTACTGAGAATTCCTGCCACTCTGTGAATGCTCTCTAGCTTTTCTGGTAAAATAAACTTCCCACTTACATCTTCTGGTGGGCCAATTCCTGCACTTGTTAAAAACAAATTCCAAGGCATTTGACAGTAATTGTGCTGGTTAGTTTTTGTCACCTTGACACAAACTAGAGACACCTGGGGAGAGGGCAGGTGGGCCTGGGCCTGGGGTGAAAAAGGAGGGTAACTGAGCAAGTCAAGGGAGTGAGTCAGTAAACCATGCTTTTCCATCGTCTCTGCTCCAGTTCCTACCTCCAGGTTCCTGTCTTGACTTCCTGCCCTGACTTCTCTCAGTGTTGGATTGTGGTCTGGGAATTGTAAACTGGAATAAACCCGTCCCTCCCCATGTTGTTTTTGGTCAGTGTTTGTCATTACAACAGGAAAGCAAACTAGGACAGTAATGACATCTTGATGGTGGGAATGAATTGAGAGCTATCAGGTTTTAGCACTTGACAGCAACCCTGTGTGAATGCTTGTGGATGAATCCCACGTTCTATAATTTGCCCTACATGTTTCTGAAGCACCATTTCTTCTAAGTGATTGTTTTGAGAATTGTCTTTTTGGGGAGTGATATCTAAGCAACCCCCCCCCCCACAACTTCTATAGTTCCAATGACAAAGGAAAATTTGATTCCACCAAAGTTCGCCCTGGGGAATGAATGAGTTTATTGGA